CTTTCAACTCAGGTCCTGTTTCAAGCAGTCATTCCATGCACCAAATGTCCTCCGGGCTATTCCAACAAACACTGAGCTGTGGATTTAACTGTGCACATCAAAGTGAACAACCAAGAGAACGGTCCTGTAAGGGAGATAAGGGCCTTTTCTGCAACCACCTTCCCCCTTAAAAAAAAAAACACCACACACACAGAGACAAACCTTAAAATAAAAAGTCACCGCGCTTACTCTCGCAACAGCAGCCGAGACGCCCACATTACATCCTGGCATGAAGGGCTAGAAGGCTAATTAATTGCCCTCCTTTGCAGATTTCTCTCCCCCCCTCCTTTTTTTTTACGCTGAAGCTTTTCCGACTTAGATTATTATTATTATGGCCTCTTCAGTTGCTACTAAGTTGCCAGGACCTTATCAAAGGGAAACAATCTCTAGCCAACTCCCCCAGGCTTTGGAACGTCAGAAGTAAGTGATCCTGCCGCCCCAATCGTATTATCCCTGCAATTCTCTCAGTGCTGCAGGAACCTTAAAGGGACAGGCAACATTCCCTCCTCACTGTTCTGCCAGCTCCACTCCCTGCTTTTAACCCTTTCCCTACCCAAACGAATTAGCTCTTTCTTTGCAATACACCCTTCTTCTCCCCCCCTCGCTCCCTCCTTCCCCCATGAGATAAAGATCAATTGCTGTTTGAACTCTCTTCCTTTTATTTTCCCATACAATGCAAAGCAACCACTGTATTGCTCTTTTGGAAAGGATGGGGAGGATCGGTCAACTTTAGTAGTGCAAGGCTCTGAACTCGTTTTTGCCTTACAGCCCCCCCTCCCCCACTCGCTTTTTTCTTCATCATCTTTAAAGTTTTACATTAGAAGAAAATTGGACTTCTTTTCCCCCTTCCTTTTCCCCCTCTGCATCTTAACTAAACAATATCTGATTGTAATAAAACTGGCATACCCACAAAACTCTGTTCTCCCCCCCCATATGTTAAATATTAAACAGACAAGGAATGCTTTAGAAAAGACTTTAGACAAAAGGTTCTAATTAGAGATTGGATCTGGCGCACAGGTTTCAGGCCAATCCACCTCCCTTCCCCCATTCTATTCACTTCCCTTATGAAGTCTGGATCTGTTGTCTTTTAGGATATGTTTTTGAAAAAAATATTTTTAATAGTCAGTCGCAGAATACAGAAATCTAAAACTTCTGAAGTTTATGGAAGTTCTAATGCCATAATGCAACTGAACCCAGTGGTTCCAGGCTGTTTCCCTCTTCATCCAAGTTTCCTCCTTTATGTTCAGACACACACACATTTTTTGCATCTTCATCTATCTGCTTATTCCAGGGATTTATTTTTTAATTGCATTTGCAAAACAAGCAAGACTAATAAGTATGCATAAAATTTTGGCAACTGGTGTCTTTTTCTCAATAGTAAAAAGATTGTCTTTAATCATATCGCTTTAATTAGTTTCCATCATAAAGCTGAGAAATCCATTCCATTGTGCTAAGAGCTGGACAAACAGTGGGGAAACACTCAGTCCTTTTTGTCTCCCTAAAATGAAGGCACTCAAAAATAAAACATGGAAAGTTACTTCTTAAAAGTAATTAATCCCTGTTACTAGAAGGATGGAAGAGTAACATTTTGCTGTTACTTGTGGCACATTTGAAAGAGTACAGTGGAACCTCTACTTAAGAACTTAATCCGTTTAGGAAGGTGGTTCTCAAGTTGAAAAGTTCTTATGTTGAATCTGCATTTCCCATAGGAATGGACTGAAACCCCATTAATCCGTTCTGGATGTTTTTTTGTTATGTAGAGGTGTGTTCGTACATTGAAACATTAGTTCCCATAGGAACTAATGCCAAGCTGGTTAATACGTACTCTACCACTAGGGGGAGAATTTTTTTTTAACCTAAGATGACCTAAGGTTAAAAAAAGAGCAGGAAAAGTTTTTTTTTTCCTGTTCATATCTTGGATTTCTGTTCTCAAGTAGAAGCAAAATTTAGCAAATGGAGCTGTTCTTAAGTTGGATTGTTCTTAAGTAGGGACGTTCTTAAGTAGAGACCCCACTGTAACACGTTATGTTACTTGTGTTGATCATCTCTTTCTGTTACTTTTGGGGGTACCCCTTAGGATTTGTACGAGAAGGACATTAAATGTGAAAAATGTCAAAATGTCTCCAAGAATATCTGAAAATACTGGTAAAAATAATTTTTGAAAGCAATTATGAAGTATTTATTTCACCAATAATGTCTCTCACTGCAATACTTTTGAAATATAATTCTGGCACAAAAAGTAACTAGTTACAGGTAACGTTAAAGTATTTCAAGCTCTGCTGAAAAGAATGTAATCCTAGAAAAATTTCCTCATACACAAGTTCTAAAGGGAATCTGTCCTCAATGTATGGATATATTACTTTGGAGGAACCAGAAGAGAACAGTCCTACGCCTCCTTCTTGGAAGTAAGGCCTACTGAGCAAAGCAGAAGTACATCTTTATTGTTCACTGATGCTGATCCTCATCATGTGCCAGGTGCTTTCTCCAATGTTCCCCTCCTCCTTTTTTTTGCAGCTTCCCATTTACACAAATTACACTCTTGAATTAGGAACTAGTTTTTCAAAGGCAAAACACTTCCAAGGCTCATGAGAAACTTGGAGGAAGTGGAGGTGGAATGAGGAACTTTCCTTCAAGAGTGGTCCATCTCATTCTTATGAATGCTTATTCAGAACTAGGTTTCATGAAGTTTAATGGGACCTATGGCAAGGATTCATACAAAATATCCTACCTGACCAGATAAAGTACACCTTGAAAAACGAAGACATCCAATGACTACTGTATTTTGCTCTTGAAATATGGACCACCACTTTCTCTCCTTAGTCATTGTTATTATATAGACCAGAACTCTATAGTTACAATTCCACTCTGGATGGCTAGACAGAGAAGGCAAGAGTCCCAAGACATAGTAAGAATAGTGCTTACTCCATGCTTACAAAGAGAATACTTGCCCACCATTCTGCAAGTGGATCAAAGCCCAATCAATGGCTGAAATCCGGTACACAGTAAATCAAAACTAGAGCAGGCCCATTAAATCAGTGGGGATTTGATGAGTTAACTTGTCCATGAGTCCCACTGATCTAACAGGCCTGCTCAAGTTGCAAATTACTACTAGACTTCAGCCTGCGTACACTGAGTGGGAGAGTGAAATGTGTAAATTATTGTGACACTTTTACAATAAACAAATTTAAAGGTGCCACTTTATGTGATACATGCTTGAAACAGACTAGCACAGCTCCCTCTTTGAAATTTACTGTAGTGGAAGAGTAAAATATGTCACCAGTTTTAATCCAAAGAAAAACCTGTGCTTGAAGAGTCATTTGGAGAACAAACAGAGAACCAGCAGGGTACAGACATCGGAGTTAAGCCCTGTTCAGACATTACACCCAGAATCCACACAGGGCTTGATGTATACATATGCCAACCCCTCCTCAACTTGAAGGTCACAGAGATTTTTGCACAAACAACATGAAGGTCTAAAATGGAGGTTATTGCAAGTGGGTTTGGCTCTATGTGAATGGGAACCCTGATATGATGGAGCCCCCAGTAATGTAAGGACTTTTAAGCAGATTAAGCTGAACATGCTTACATTCCTCATGGGAGGTTCTCAGTGACTCCCAGGTATGCAGAGGATGGAAGTCCTCTTCTACACCACCCTTTTAGCCTCCTACATGATTTCAAGTGTAATGCCTGAAGAGGGCTCTTGCAGACCAAAGTTCAAATCCCCACTTAGCTCTGAAATTCCCTGGGTGATCTTGGGCCAGCTGTAATCTCTCACCCTGATTTGCCTCACAGGGTTGTTGTTTTGAAGTACGGGGATGGCACACCTACTTTGAGCTTATCAGTAGAAAAACAGAATGTAAATATTACTCATAAATCAGAGCTTGGAAAAGCTATTTTTTAGGCCGCCAAACTAAAACAAATAAACAAAGTATTGTGGCACCTTTAACACAAGCTAGATTTACTGTGAGATATCCAGCATGGTGTAGTGGATAGAGTGACAGACTAGGAGGCCTGGGTTCAAATCCCCACTCAAGCCATGGAAGCTCATTGGAGTGGAACTGATAAAACCGCTCCTTAAATGTCTCACTTTCCTTGAAAGCCCAATCAGAGTAACTATAAGTCAGTTCCGCTTTGATGGTGCATGACATAACATAGATGTATTATGGTGTGTGCTTTCATGGACTGTAATCCACAAAAGTCAACACTAACATTTGTTTGTCTCAAAGGTGCCACAAGACTTTACTGACTGTATTTTTATGTTATATGCTGAAACATACAGCTGCTTTTCTGAACACGTTTGGGAAACGACTTTCTGAACTTTAAAGCTGAGGGATATGGGAGCTGTAGTCCCAAAAAAGGAATTCTTCCAAACTTAGTAAATAATAAATAAATACTAAATCATTAACATTGACCAACTCCTTAGAATATCTGCACAAGATTAGCACCCAGGCTGATGTTTATGTACTCAGACATGAATCCCACTGGGTTCAATCCATAGAAGTGCATGGGTGTGCTTGAAGATACAGCAGTGTTTTCCAACCGCTCACCCCACACAAATCAAAGGGTTTAAGTGGGTATAAATCTACATAGGACTGCAGCTTTAATAAGCTATAAAACTGCTCTCCTTAGTGTCTCAGGAACAGAGCCCCCTATAGGCAGAAGCAAGAAGCAAGTCAATCAAAGCACCCCCTGTTCCCCAGTCTCGACCAAATATCAGGTTTGAGGCGGGGGCGGGGGGACTTTTTTGTTTGTTTCTTTTAGCAAATGCAATTTCTGTTAAGTTCCTT